TTTTTTTTTTTTTTTGAGACAGGGTCTCCCTGCGTAATCCAGGGGGGTGGCCTTGAACTCACTGTGTAGCCCAGTCTGCCCTCAAACTCACAGCGATCCTCCAGTCTCAACCTCCCTAGTGCTGGGATTACATGCTCACTAAGAGCATTTTTTAATAACCAGAATTTGGCACAGGATGGCATAAATTGTTTATATTGAACCAAAATTGTCTACAGATAAGAGAAACAGGATGGGGGTGGGGTGAGGGGAATCTTTGGAATAGAAGGGAAGTCAATACAAAGTTAGCGTTGCTTCTGGGCTGGGTGGGGTTAACTAACAGTCCAGAAGTTTATACAGGAACAGAGTACACTGGCCTTGGAGGTGTGTTGTGTGGGATTTAAATCAAGCTTTCAGCACAGCCTCTTTGGTAATTGACTAACTTCCTTTATCTCCGACAATTTTCTTTTACCAGGCCTCAGTTTTTCTTGGGATTTCTACAGGAAAGGCAAGGCAGGGCAGGGCAAACTGCTTAGCGCTGGCTAATTTGGATAAAGTTCCAGTAGGCTATGTGGGCAACAGGACTGGCCCCCAGTTGATTCAGGGGAAGGCAATACTGGTCAGGTGTAGGAGAGTTAGATAAAGGAAGTGGCTAGTTAGGTGTGGTGGCACACAGGAGTAATGTCAGCGCTCTAAGGAGGCTGAGGCAGGAGAGAGGTTGGCAAGTTGAAGCCAGCCTGGGCAATTTAGTGGTTTATAGCAAGATCCTGTCTCAAAATAAAAAAATAAAAGGGCTAGGAATATAGTCCAGTGTAAAGATCCTGCCTGGGTTCAATCCTCAGAACTGAAGAAAGAAAAAGGGAGGGGGATGTGCTTGTGAACAGGGACTCCGGATTAGTTGATTTGCACATGAAATGAAACTCACAAGTGAGCTATTTATTAGCTAGCCCTAGGAGGGGCAGTTTCTTTCTGGCCTGGTGGGACCTCAAGATGTCAAAACATAAATACTATAGAAAATTTTAAAATGACTAATACACCCTTCCAATCTAAAATTTAAAATCCAGTAATTACACATTTTCTGACTCCAAATAAGAATATCATAAGAAGAGGCCTGGGATTTAGCTCAGTGGTTCCGCTGCCTGCCTCAAAAGCGCAAGGTCCCAAGTTCGATCCCCAGTATCAAAAAAAAAAGGGGGGGGGGGAGAAATCAGGCTACAAGTTCTTTCTGCAAAACACCCATATTTTTTTCCACACACACAAAAAAAGGTAGGGTAATTACAAGCTTAACAGGTGGCCAAAAACAATGGGACAAACTGGATTCTGTAATAATTGCAGATTCTTTCTAAAGTTAGAAAAAAAAAAAAGGAAAGGAAAGGATAGACAGATTAGAAGTTCATCTCAAAATCCACCCAGCTCAGGTAAACTTGTACTAATAGTAGGAAAAAACCAAGATTCTGTATTGATTCAAACAACTTGTCTCACATCAACCAAGAAAATGTTAAAAGTCCCTGTTCAAAAGGTGCCCAAGCACATGAAAGATTGTGCTAGATGGAAAAATAGCTCCATAAGGTAAGCATGCTCTAGCCCTGGAACTTAAGGATAAAGCAGTGAGCAGATAAAGACTCTGCCTCGTGAAGCTTATATTCCATTAGGAGGAAACCAGATATGAGCAACACTAATACATAAACTGTTAGTGGTGTTAAAGGCGCTGAATAAAATAAAGCAGTGTAAAGAGACAGTGTATATGTGTAGGAAGGATGGAGATAAGGCAAAATTAGACAAAAGGACCAGTACTTGGAAAATGTCTTCTTTAACGGTATGTTTAACTTTTCCTAAAATCAGGAATGGTCTTTAGTGTACAGTGGAAGATACCTTTTCAATATATTAAAAAGGAACTTTTTTCAATATATTAATAAATTTATTCAAAGTTGTCTATATTTTGAAAAGGTAAATGTTACCTTTACAACTTGAGATTTGCACACAAAATTTTGAATGAAGACTTGCAGATAGAAATGGTATCCACCCAATATCACTCTCCATTTTTTAGGGACTAGAACTTCGGTTGTATAATCCACAGGGCCAGAAATTACTATTCTATCTCATGGAGCCTGGGGAGATTCCATCTCTCTTTGTTTTGGACGCAGAGACCTAAGTTTGACTCTCAGAGCATCCTTTGTTTCTCACCCAAGTTTGTCTTCCGGTACAGCATACCCAACTGGGCACTGAAAACCGAACACAGTCCGCTCTCCTCCCAGACAGTTTTCTGACTGAGCACAGTATGTCACCCAGCTCCATTCAGACACACGGACACGGAACCTTTCTTCCAACACGCATCGTCTACAACCCTCTCTCCACTCAGACACTAGGTGTGATATGGAGACAGAAAACGGGGCCAAGCCCCTCCAACTCAAGCCCGTTCGGAGCCCGAATGCCGTGCCATCGCCTTCAGCCCGAGTGAGGACAGCCTCGGCTGCAGATCGCCATGCCCGGTCCCAGGCTCTGAGGTCCTGCTGGTGCAGATTCGCTGGTCCCAGGCAGACAGGCGGGGACACAAGGTGGCGAGCTGCCCGGCTGATGCTGACCACTCCCGGAGCAGGGAAGCGGCAGATGGGCCACACAGTGACAACCAAGGCGACGAGCAGACCAGGGACACGCACCACTTGTCCGAGGAAAGGGAGGCCGTACCTGGCTCGCAAACTCGCTTCCAGGGACTGCTGTCCGGAGGCGGCGCCCAGCACTGCGGAGTCCAGACTGCGCTGATACCCTCCGGGACCTCACCTATCGCGGCTGCACGACGGCCCAGCTGCGGCCGCACAGCGCCAGTGCCTTCTGATTGGTCCCTCGCGTATTTGCTTCCGGGTGAGAGGGTGCCTGTCTCCCGAGCAACCGGGTCTCCCGAGCAACCGGGTCGCCCTCGGAGCCGGCCTAGCGCCATCGCTCCAGGAGGCAGAGCTGGCGGGCCAGGGGGAGTCGCACAGTAGTGAAAGTGTCCATTACCCCTCTTTATCACGTGAGTGCCCTTCCTCCCAAGGCCTGGCAGGGAAAGGCGTCTTTAAATAGAACTCGCGTGGCGCCGAAGGTCGGCCCCTATAACGTCGTTCCTGGTGTCACCTATTTCCCTAGCGTCTACCCTGCGGTGGCGAAGCGGGTAGGGTCGCCGAATACCTCGGGTCTGGGGATCAGATGTGGATTCTGGCTCTGATTCGGCTATAGAGCGCTGCTGTGACACGTTAGGCAGGTGCCACCCTCTCTGGGCTTCCGTTTCCTTTATTGTGCGAAATGGTATCGATCTCTGGTTCCTCTAGCTCCAGTATTCCCAATGAAGAACCTTTTATGGGTAATTGAAAACAGTTCCTGTTTTGGTATGGTTATATTTAGTTTTCTGCTTAATAGGCACTTAATTGCTTCCCAAGTGCCATTCGTAACCAAGATACTCAGTACTTATTGGTACTTAGTACCAATTGGAACTGGACAGTCGGGTAGCAAAAGGGATTTGACTAAGGCACAATCCCCGTCCTGGAGGAAAAATGTGTGGTAGGGGATTCTAACACAAAAGCATTGTATTCATAGAGCCATAAATACTGTCAGAGGAGTCTGAGGGTGACAAGAAGTGAGAAAAATGGCTTCGAGAGAGAGGCCATATTTGAGCTGCAGCTATAAGAAAACTGTAGGTACAGAGTTAGACACTAGCCTAAGTGCTTTATGTGGATTAGCTCACTTAATCTAATGGTGAGGGAATTACGGCATAAATAACTTGTCGGAGGCCAAAAAAATTATGGAATCCTGATTCAAACCTAGGTAGCATAATGCCAGAGCCCTGCTACATTCTATTTTTACAACTCCTCCAGGATGAGTGGTAAATAGCCAAAGAGATGTGCATTCAGGGAGAGAGTACAGCATGGCCCCTGTAGGACACTACAAGCAGATTTGGTGTCCTGGTTAGTCTCAATAGACACTTAGCAGTTCTGTGTCCTTGTCTCTTCAGAACCTCAAAATTTGAAAACATGTTTCTGTATACCTCCACACTTCACACTTTATCCACAACCAAATCTTAGAAATTATAGGAAAAATTCAACAAACATACCTAAATTTTATCCCAGCTACTCTGAAGGATGAGGCAGGAGGATTGCAAGTTCAAAGCCAGCCTGGGCAATTTATCGAGACCCTGTCTCAGAAAATAAAAAGGGCTGGGATGTATGTAGCTCAGCAGTAAGAGTACTCCTTGGTTCAATCCCTAGTATCAGTTCCTTTGCTCTACCCATGGACTTTTGTTTTGTTTTTTGAGACAGGGTCTCACTATGTAGCCCAGGCTGGCCTCAAAGCGGCAGTGATCCTCTTGCCTCAGCCGTCTAAGTGCTGGGATTACAGGTGTTCACCACCAGGCCAAGCTTGCCCATGGAGATTCTGACCTGAGGTACAGCCTAGGAATTTCAGAATATCCCAAGTGATTCTGATGGATAGGCCACACTTTGAATGACGTTCTAGTATATTCTACCATGCTAGAACTCAGAGTCTACTTCTCCGTTTTCTTCAGTGTTGGGGGAAAAATGACTTTCTAGTATTTTAGTCCACTAAGTGTTCAAGACTCTAAGATGCAGATTCCCCCCAGTTGTATGGTCTTTCTTCCTTTTTCACCTGGTCTCCATTCCAACCTCTCTGCTTGGGGTTCCTTTCCTTCCCCACTTACAGTATTTTCTGTTTCCTCTTACTGCCAAATCAAGAAATTCCTCAGGCTACCTTTACCTCTATGGGACCCTGAATAGGTCCTATAAGCTACCCAAGAGAAAAATGTGTCCTACAGAAAAATGTGTACACCAGTGTCAATAGCAGCATTATTCCTAATCATCCCAAACTGGAAATAACCTAATGTCTATCAGCTGATGAATGGATAAACAAAATGTGCTGTTCTGTACAAGATATATATGGTAATTAAAAAAAGATATATATGGTAATATATGAAGTACTGACACATGATACAACGCTGATGAACCTCAAAAACATGTGAAGTGAAAGGATTATTGTGATTCCATCTATAAGAATTGTTCAGAATAGGAAAATCTATTGACAGACAATCGATAGTGGTTACCGGGGGATGGGGAGGTGGTGAATAACTGCTGATGGGTACAGGGCTTCTTTCAGCGATGATAAAAACATTCTAAAGCTAGATTATGATGATGGTTTCACCACTCTGCATATACTAAGAACATTGAATTGTTATACCCTTAAAGGGTAAATTTTCTGGTATGTGAATTATATACTTACAAAGTTGTTATGATAAACAAAAACATTATCTAGAGGAAATTGTTTATTTCACAGGACTCTACACTAGACAGTGGAAGTGCCAAGTAACCATGACATGCTTTGTATGAAGTGAATCTATTTGGCTAGTGCTTAAAGCACATTTTTTTTTTTTTTTGGTGCCAGGGATTGAACTTAGGACCTTGTGCTTTTGAGGCAGGCGGCAGAACCACTGAGTTAAATCCCTGGCCCCTTTAAAGCACATTTGTAATAGCCTAATGACATGAAAATATTTAACTTACATGATTTTTCTTAAATTTTTTAAAGCAGCTTCAGAAGTATATAAGATAAGCTTTACATTTCCAAATGGAGACAAGTATGGTAAGCACCTATTTCAATTATTTTTCCTACATAGAAAATTAAATAGCTTAACGTCAGAAAAAAGACTGTCACATTTTGTCAAACTACTATTTGGATATAAATTCACTTGAATAAAATAACACAGAAATCCTAATCAATGAACACATTTTATATCCAAACTCCAATATCAAGTCTGGACAGTTTGCCTTGATAACCTGTGAGATTGTCAGTCTTTCTGGCCCTTGGGTCTTAGTGTTCTAGGTCCATGGATCTCTTTACCTCTGGTCTCATTGGTTTCAGTGCTAGGGAACCCAAACAAACAAGCATAGAGTGCAGTTATGAACAGGCCCCGACATAAACACTATATTATTTAGTCAAACATGGTTCTTACTTAAAATATTTAGCATTTCTCCCTTGTTTAGATGGTGACTGTACAAGAACATCTTCCGGCAGCTATGAGAGAAATGGAATAGGCATTCATAGCACTCCTAATGGCATTGTCTGCACAGGAAACTGGAAAGATGACAAGGTATTATATTTTGGTTTTGTTTCTTTTTGCTGTCATACTGGGGATGGCACCAGAGCCAGTGCTCTACCACTGAGCCACACCCCCTTCCTTTACTGTTGTTCTTAATACTGAGAGCAGATAAATAATCACATGGGCTAAATGATTTAAGTATTCAACATGAATAAGAAATACTGTAACAAATAATTATATTTAGCATATATTAATGTATGCATAATATTAAAGTCATAAAGAGAGCTAATGATCATCATTATTATGTCTCATCTCCCATTCATTAAGGAGAGCTAACTTCATTCATTTTTTTCCCCATTTAATCTTCATAATCACCTTATGAGATAGGTGCTGTTCATATCCCTATCTTATAAATGAGAGAAAAAATCAGGCTCAAATTTCTTGCCTGTCTAATAAGCGATAAAACAAAAAAGTATAACCAAGCTTATTTGAATCCAGATTTACGTTCTATTTTTTGTTTTTGGTTAGTGCATGTGTGCGCGCACGCACACGTGTGTGTGTGTGTGTGTGTGTGTGTGGGCGTGTGTGTGCGTGTGCATGCGTGCAGGGTTTCTGTTTTTTGCAATACTGGGGAGTGAATCTAGGTCCTTTGCGCTGAACCATATCCCCACCCTTTTTTTATTTTTGAGACAAGTTCATACAAAGTTACTAATTGCCTGGAGTAGACTCGAACTTGTGATCCTCCTGCCTCAGCCTCCTTTGGTGCTGGGATTACAGGTGTGTGCCACCATGGCTGGTTTAAATTTATATTCCTAATTAACATTCTGTATGGTTTCCTGAGCTAACTAAACTGGTTGCCCTTTAGGATTGCTGATTTAGGGCCGGGGATTTAGCTCAGTGCTGTCGATGCCTGCCTCAAAATCGCAAGGTCTTGAGTTCAATCCCTGGTACCAAAAACAAAACAAAACAAACAAAAAGATTGCTGATCTAGTGAAGGTGATGTGAAGATCCCTGTTATGATCATCATGGAACCCCATCGTTCAAATGCCCCAGATGGAGAACATTTACTTTAATGGGCTTCACAGAGAGATACACGGGAAGGACAACAATAAAACATTGTCTATTTTTGTCAAAATACTGATACAAAGTTGACAAATAAGATGAGCATGGTGGCCACTTCTGTAATCATAGCACGGAGGAGGCTGAGGCAAGAGGATTGAACAGAGTTAGAGGCCACCCTGGGTCACATAGTGAGTTCAAGGCCAGCAAGGACTACACAGCAAGACTGTCTTAAAAAAAAAAATCAAAAACCAAATAAAACAGCAAAGTTAACTAAATTTTTTTTTTTTTTTTTTTTTTTGCGGTACTGGGGATCAAACTTAGGACCTTCCGCTTGACAGGCAGGCACAGTGCCACTGAGCTACATCCCGGGACCCATATGTTTGTATTTTTAAAAGTATTGGGAAAGTTGTGAAGTTTAATTTTTGAGGTCATTTCTTTTGTTGCCAACAGATGAATGGTTTTGGAAAACTTGAGCATTTTTCAGGAGCAGTATATGAAGGACAATTTAAGGACAATATGTTTCATGGATTGGGGACTTACACTTTCCCAACTGGGGCAAAATACACTGGAAATTTCAATGAAAATAGGTAAGCTTAAATTTTTTAAAAAATCACTGTAGTTCTAAAATATTATAATCCCAGCACTCGGGAGGCTGAGGTAGGAGGATCGCCACGAGTTCAAGGCCTGCCTTGGCTACGTAGTAAGTTCAGGGCTAGCCTGGACTACAAAGGGAGACCCTACCTCAGAAAAACAAAAAATGAAATTATTTTCGGCTGCACTTTCTTAAATATTATGTTTAGTTAATTCTAAATATTTTTGTAATATAATTATTTTCTAAGCATTGTTGACTTATTTTAGGTGATAAGGTAGTATTATAAAAGAGGGTAAGACCGTCACACCCTCCCAAAGGGAATATTGTTCTTGGTGATCATACATTAGACTTTTCATATTCCCTTTCTACCTTTCTGTGACTATAGAACTTTTTGCAATCAGCTTAAAAATAGAAAATTTATTGCAATTTTTGTGAAAACTTAGGTCAAAAATAATTCTCACTTGAAATATCTTGATATACTTGTAAGAAACAGCCTTGGGGATAATTTCGTCATTATTTTTTTCATTTTGATGCAAAATTAGTTAAATTTCAAATGATGGACATATACCCACTATTGTCCTTTTTGAGCGTATGCATGTAGCAAAAACAAAAGTGAAATGAAACATGAATACAGCTTTAGAAGCTTAATTTTCACATTGAATTCTAGGCCATGCCGTCCAGAGGTTCAACTTCATTTACAGGCACACCTTTCATATTTATAGAATTGACAGTGCAACCTAATTGTTGAGAAGTAGTTAACGGGAATACATTCTTTTTTTTGGTACCGGGGATCAAACTTGGGTCCTTGCGCTTGTGCAGCAGGCGGTGAAACCACTGAGCTAAATCCCCGGCCTATAGGAATACATTCTGAGGGGGCAGAAAAGTGTTCACCTCTCTTCCCTCCAAGTTTGTAATAATAACACACGAACTTTTCCCACTGATATTAATACAGGGAGGAATCTGACTTATGGGACAAAGCCTGTTTGTTTATGTGAGTACATTTTCGTATCCAGAGAGCCTAAGAAAGCACCAGCACAGGGCCTAGGACTTCAGGCGTAGTCAATGATCAAGACACTTCTGTTGGATAAATCAATGAACCAATATAAATTTCATTTTTAGCCGTTGTGGTTTAAGCGTAAAGTTGCTTATATGATCTTAAAATCTTGGACACCAAAACTTATATAATGACAATATTTGTTTGTAATACCATGTTTTTTCATAGGCTATAGTAGTAGAATTTGAAAATGGAAAGATATAATCCTTCCGACATGTGTACACTATACTGGAGACTCTCCTATGTGGACTATAAATTCTTACACTTGATTAATGAACAAACTATTTTCCATATTGCAGGGTGGAAGGTGAAGGGGAGTATACTGATGCCCAAGGACTACAGTGGAGTGGAAACTTTCATTTCACAGCTGCTCCAGGCCTGAGACTAAAGCTCTACATGTAGATGTTCTAAATTCAAGTTTAAATGGGGTAATTGAAGTTTTTAGTTTGAAGCAGAGCAACTAACTCTGCCATCTGAAATGACTGCATACACTTACCTCTGTAAGTTTTCCAATAAAACCATCACTCATCTATGCCTTCTTGAATTTTATTTTTATTATTATATAGATGCTGTAAAACTATGTGATTCAATTCAGAGTTTATTCATTTTGGGGTTTTTTTTTTGTTTTTGGGGGGTTTTTTGGTACTGGGGATCGAACTTGGGTCCTTCTGCTTGTGAGGCAGATGGCGGAACCACTGAGCTAAATCCCCCGGCCCCATTTTTTATTTATTTTTTTTTTTTATTTATTTATTTTTTGTACCGGGGATCGAACTTGGGTCCTTGCGCTTGCGCAGCAAGCGGTGAAACCACTGAGCTAAATCCCCAGCCCAGAGTTTATTCATTTTAATAAACACAGTACAGCAAGCCAGGCATAGTGGTGGATGCTTGTAGTCCTAGGACTCTAGGGGGTGAGGCAGGAGGATTGTGAGTTCGAGGCCAGCCTGGGCTACAGAGTGAAATCCTATCTCAAAGAGACTTAAATAAGTAAAAATATACATACATACATACATATAAACATACTACAGCACAACCATCCAGATCTTGGCAAAGTCAATTTCCAATCACATGCCTGGGTTTTATAATCTTTTGTTTTCTAGGTTATGCTTGCATGTTTATTTTGGAAGAAAAAATTTTCCCTCAATTGCCCTTTATAAGCATGCAAATACTTGGAACACAATGAATTTTTTATTGCTGTGATTACAGTAAATTGGAATCAACCTTCCTAAAAAATTTAAGTGTACAATACATTCTCAATGACGAAGCGAAAATGTGCTGCATTTCCCTAGGGCTCATGCATCTTGCTTGACTGAAACCTTAGGCCCATTCATTAGTAACTCATTTCCCTCTGTGCCAGCCTCTTGGATTCACTATTCTTTGACGCTATGGATTCGACTGTTTTGGATACCATATCCTATTTGTGGAAGCCTGTACCAGTTGTCCTTCTGTGATTAGCTTATTCCACTTACAACACTGTCTTCAGGGTTCACCCATGTTGTCACATTTTGCAGAATTCCCTTCTTTTTTTTTTTTCCAGTACCAGGAATCAAACTCAGGACATTGTGCTTGCCAGGCAGGTGCAGCACCACTGAGCTAAATCCTCAGCCCAGAATTGCCTTCTTTTTTAAAGGCTGAATAGTATTTCATTGTATGTATATACCACATTTTTTATTTTTTTAAATTTTTATTTCAATGTGATATAAGTAGATATTAATAAAGAAAATATAAAGGCTGTTCTATTAAAAAAAATTTTCATGGCCAGGGATTTAGCTCAGTGGTTCTGCTGCCTGCCTTGCAAGTGCAAGGTCCTGAGTTTGATCTCTGGTACCAAAAAAAAAAAAAAAAGATCATGATACATGTGTATTTATTATTGTTATTCTCTAATTATTTTGTTATGAAAATTTTTTTTTCCTGGTATTGGGGATCGAACTCAGGACCTTGCGCTTGTGAGGCAGGTGGCAGAACCACTGAGCTAAATCCCCGGGCCTTTTTCTTTTTGCATAAAACATTTTAATTATTAACAATGCATCTCAAACTTGGTATAATTTTGAACTATTTCTTCCTATTTCACAATATCTGTTATACTTTTTGGTTCTTATTTACACTTTCAGTTTATCACACCAGAGATAATGTGATATCTACACATGTGTGTTTGATTTATTTAACTTAAGAGTATGGTTTCAAGGTACATCCATTTATCTAGAAATGTCTCAAGTTTATCCTTCTTTATGGCTGACTAGTGCTCCATTATATTTAAAAAATCTTTTTTTATTTTTCTTTTTTTATCCATTCATCAGTTGATGGACATTTGGGCTGTTTCTAAGATTTAGCTATTAGAAACTGTGCCACTCTAAACATGGATGTGCATATATTGCTGTGATATGATCCTTTTAATTCTTTTGGGAAGATACCCAGAAGGGGATTACCTGGGTCAAATGGGACCTTTAATCCTAGTTTTTTGAGGAATCTCCACACTGATTTCCATAGTGGTTGCACCAGTCTACATTCCTACCAACAGTGGAGAAGGGTTCCTTTTCAGAAATGGCAAATAAATACATGAAAAAATGTTCAACATCACTGGTCATTCAAGATGCAAATGAAAATAATGCTGAGATTCCACCTCACCCCAGAAAGAATAGCTGCTATCAAGAAATCAACCAATAACAAAGGCTGGCGGGGATGTGGGGAGAAAGGAACCTCTATATACCACATTTAAAAAAATCTGTTGCTGAACATGTAGGTTGTTTCTACATGTTGGCTATTATGCGTAGTTCTGTGATGAGTACATAAGATGGTAATGTCTCTTTAAGATCCTAATTTCAATTCTTATGGGTAAGTGCTCAGAAGTAGGATTGCTGGATTGAACTCAGGACCTTGCGCTTGTGTGGCAGGCGGCAGCACCACTGAGCTAAATCTCCGGCCCAGTATCTCTACTTTTAATCTTTTTTTTTTTTTGGTGCTGGGGATCGAACTTGGGACCTTGCACTTGCAATACTTTTAATCTTTTGAGGTTTGCCATGTTGTTTTCCACAGTGACTGCCATTTTTATTCCTATCCATAGTAAGCAAGAGTTTCAATTTCTCCATATCTTCACCAACGCTTGTTATATTTTGTTTTTCTTAGTAGCTACCCTGACAGATAGAAAGTAATATCTCATTGCGGTTTTGATTTCTATTTCCCTAAACATTTTTTTCACATATCTATTGGCCATTTGTGTGTCTTCTTTGGGGAAATATCTATTTAATGTCTTAGCTCACTTTTAAATTGGGTTATTAATTTCTTTACTCTTACATTATTGAAAGTCCCTTATGTATTTTGCAGATTAACTCCTTAGCAGATATATGGTTTGCAGATTCTCCTCTGTTCCATAGGTTGCCTTTTCAATCTGTTGATTGCATTGCTGTGGGGATTTTAGTTTGAGATAAGCCCACTTGTGCAGTTTTGGTTTTGTTGCCTGTGCTTTTGGTGTCATATCTGTGTATGTTATCACTGCTAAGTCCAATATCATGCACATTTTCCATTGTGTCTCAAACAGCACATTAAAAGAGTCATACACCAGTCTGTGGTATAACATAGTGGTAGGGCCTCGCATGTGCAAGGCCTGTGTTCAATCCCCAGCACTGCAGAATGAATGATTGGATGAATGAAAAATTTTAAAAGGCTCATGTACCATGACCAAGTGGCTTTATCTCTGGGATAAAATGATGGGTCAACATGTAAAAATCAATTAATGTGGTAGTCCACTCTGACAGAATAAAGGATAAAAATCACACGATCATATCAATAGATGTAGAAAAGACCCATTTGACAAAATTCAGCACACTTGCATGACAAAAGCTCTCAAAGAATGAGGAAAAAATATATATATATGCTTTTCTTTTTGAGACAAGGTCTTGCTATGTAGCCCAGGCTGTTCTTGAACTCATGGTAATCCTCCTGCCTCAGCCTCCTGAGTGCTGGGATTACAGATGTGTGTCACCATACCTGGCTTAATAAACCAGGAATAAAGTTACTTTAACACAGTAAAGGTTCTCTATTTTTTAAAAAAATCCCATAGCTAACATGATATTTAACAATGAAAAATAATACTTTTACTCTAAAATCAGAAACTAGGCAAGAACACCCTTCTTTGCCACTAGTATCTTTTAAAAATCTATCTTTTTTGGAAGGACAGTACTGGAGTTGAACCCAGGGCCTTCACACTGAGGATGCATCCCAGCCCTTTTATTTTTATTTTTATTTTTTTGGTACCAAGGATCGAACTTGGGTCCTTGCGCTTGCAAGGCAGGTGGCGGAACCACTGACCTAAATCTCTGACCCTAGCCCTTTTTATTTTTACTTTTAAATTTTTCAGGCAGAACTCAAACTAGCAATCCTCCTACCTCAGCCTCCCCAGTGCTGGAATCACGAACATGTGCCACCATGCCCATCTGAAAAGTATATTTACTGTATTTGTTGAAAGTCACTCTAAAAAAGAAAAGTCACTCTAAAGAAAGGGCAAATGCAAACCACAGAATGGGAGTAAATATTTTCAAATCATATTTCTGAATGTCATAAATTTGTTTAACAGATGCTGCCTCAGCATTCATTTTTAGGCCTGAGGTTGAAACCTAGCTGTCTCCCCCACCCCCCATCATCTTTGGTTTAGTTACACTGTCCCTCCCTGTGTGCTTGTGTATGATACAGCCTGCTTGTTCTTCATTCCTCTGACCGAAACCTAACACATCCCACAGCTGGCAACCACGATATAACCTAATGGTCAACGTGAGTCATTTAAGTCAGTTCCTCCCTTCTCAAATTGTCTTTCAGTGATCCAGTCCACAGCAACCAAGGGAAAGCCTCAGAGGTAATACGGATGAGCCTTAACAAAGATACAAACCCCACAGGTGCCTTCACTGTCTTGCTGCTTGAGCTCTCTGCCACTTCTGGGCTTCCCTAACCTCTCTGGGATCCATTAGATAATGTTTCTCTGTTTTATCAACTTTAGTTTCAACTCTTCATTGTATCTCACCTGACCAACACATCCAAACCCAATTTTCACCCCTGCCAGGGCTCTCCTTGAGAGCATCTATCTTGGTTTATAGCCACACATGACAGAACTCAAGACGAAATTAGAAAGAAGTCATAACAAAAATTATCATACTGATAAAGTTATAAATTCCAGAACATTTAAAGAACTCTTACAACTCAATCATAAAAAGACAATCCAGGGCTGGAGGTATAGCTCATGTAGCTCAGTGGTAGAGTGCTTGCTTAGAACCCCAGAACCACTGAAAGAATGAAGGAAGAAGGAAGGGAGGGAGGGATGGGATTAGGATTAGGGTTAGGGTGGCAGTATGAGACAGGGCCTTTGGGAGGTGATTGGTTCATGCAGGGTGGATTAGGGACTTTTCATAAGTGTGAGGAGTTTGTTTGCTGCTTCTGCCAAGTCAACATTCAGCAGGAAGGTGCCATCTTTGAAGGTGAGAGCAAGCCCTTACCAGACACTGAATCTGCTGGCATCTTGATATTGGACTTCTCTGCCTGCAGAACTGTAACCAGTAAATTTCTATTGTTTATAAATGATCCAATCTAAGCTATTTTACAGAAGCCCAAATGGACTAAGACATTCACAACAGCCCCAAACTGGAGGGAGGAATAGAGAGCTATGATGGGAATGTTCTAGAATTAGATAGTGGTAATATTTGCATAATCTTATTTAGTTGGGTTTTTGTTGTTGTTATTGTTGTTCCAGGGATCGAATTTGGGACCTTGTGCTTGTGAGGCAGGTGGCGGCACCACTGAGCTAAGGCCCTGGCCCAACATAATCTTATAAACATACTCAAAATCACTGAATTGTTTACTTCAAAGGGGCAAATTTTATTTATGGTATGTGAATTATACCTTAGTTTCTTTAAAAAGTAGATGTGGGGTCATCATATATTCTATGCCCTATCTTTTAGATAAAGTAATTTTAAAAGTAGCAGAACAAATGTATTGAATTATCACCATGTGCCTCATAAATATGGACAATTAACAAAATAAAATAATTTTAAATGAAAAATTATCAAAGCAGTATATGTCAGCTACATTTTAAAAGCTACACTGAAGATCTGAGTGTTTTTGCTGAAATGCTATTCCAAAACTGAACAAAAAAATAGTGTATGTAATAGTAACTTCTGGGCCCTATTGTTTTAAAATCTTGTAAATATTTATATTCCACAATGTGATTGAGAAAAATTATATTTTTTACTGTACTAATATAAATTGGATTAAAATGTCTTTTAAAATATTAAAATAAGAACTATTTTGTCAGTTTCTCATAATAATAGCTTTGTTTTTTATTTCAAAAGATTCAAGTGTTCAAAGACAGGGTTTTAAAAATTGGGCATTTTTGGAATCGTTGCTTATGGCTGATAGAGTTTCAAATTAAATATTATGATTATCATTATTGTACTGGAATTTATAAGGAGATAAATACTAGACAAGAGAGAGTGAAGGTATGTTTTTAGGGGCCAGGACATAATACAAACTCAAAACTTCTGGAAAATAGAGAAAAATATCTATATTACTACAAACTCAATTTTCCCTTGTATTTTTCTTCAGATTACTTAAAGTAGCAAGATAGGTACCTCGCTCTTAAAATGTTTAACTTTTTGGTATATTACTTTCTTTTCAATATATGTTTTTATTTTTCTAAGATACCAAAATCATTCTTGTTAAGCAATTTTCTTCCTTTTTACTCCTTGAAACTAGACACAGTTAAGTTACTTGATTAGTTGATGCTAGAATTTGACCTGGAGCTTATATAATTAGAGGAGACACTTGTTTTCCTCATTTAAAAGCCTGTTAGCATATGACAGTCTCGTTTCAGGGGAAGTCAAACCTCTTTACTGCTTCTTTTTATAACCTTTAAATTAATCTGGAATTCAGATAAGCCTTGATCTGAGGATGATATAACCACAGCAAGCAACATGGGGTAAGTGTGTTCTTTCATATGCTTTATGAGGCATTGAAAGGAAAATATTTTTATAAGAGAAGAAAATTCATCCACCCTTACCATAAGCTATACTGATTTAAATTCAAAATATGATAACAATTATTTAAGATAGTCATTCAGATACATAACTGTTCATTCAAAAGTTATAGCAATGTGTAAAGCATTCATTCATTTCTTTGCTTAATTTTTATATTATGTCTTAATCTACCTTTGCAGGTTGCCAGCTAATGAAATATTTGGGGAATATTTGAAGTAGCTCTGCATATTTACATATTTAGTTGCAACTGAGTTAAATTTCAAGAGCAATCTTAAAGAAAAGATAATAGAAGTCTTGGTTTATAAGGCTGCCTAAATCCAACATGTATGTGCCTCTTTGGGATTAAGAATAATTAAAGAATGAAAAAGATCAGGATGGTGGGAAATTGATTTATGCCTTGTAACAAAGAAAAAGGGTAGAGGATTCTGCAACTTCTTCATGCACAGAAAACGTGCTGATTATTTACATGGAGACATGTCTTTGTGAAACCTGATTCTAAATACTTCATGAGGTTTTAGGAACATGATGAAAAGAATTGGGTTTTATGTAAAAATTTGTCATTCTTAAGAGGAGAATTTTGTTACAATTTGTATTGGAATTGTGACTTTTTACATCCTAAAATAGTAGTATATTCTGAATCTATAGAAATTTGTCATTGTATCACCCTTTTATCTTTTTCAATCACTTCCTTCAAAATCACTGCTGCAGATAATATAACTGTTTCATTGAAGGCTACTTTTGAAAGATTCACCATAAAGGATCAGAAATTTATACTAGAGAAAAGTTTTTTGATACACTTATTCTAAACAATGTCTACACATTTAGCTAATGTCTACATTTTTGTTGATAGCATGAGCCCGAAGAAGCAAGTTAAACCATTTGAAAACTCATAGGCTTTTGAAAGGAAGGTCATAATATTGTTTTGGTTTTGGTTTTTTGGTTTTTTTGTATCGGGGATCAAACTCAGGACCTTGCACTTGCAAGGCAGGTACAGTGCCACTGAACTAAATCCCCAGCCCTATTGTTAACTTTTGATACAAATATAATGATGTGTTTTGAAGCTAAAAGTGAAAAGAGAAGTGCCATGCACAAATAGTACCTGCATTTTGGTTATTTTATTTGAAACAGAATTGATGAGATTCCATATTCTCTTTAATCTGCCTCCTTCCTTCCCTCTTTTGTGTATACAACAATGTGCCTCGACATAGCAAGCCTGCAGTAAACGCTACTCTGAACTGTTTAAGTCCCCTCCGTCCCTCCTTTCTTTCCTTCCTTTCCCTCTTCCTTTTTTCCTTCCTTCCTTCCCTCCTTCCTCTCTCTCTCTCTTTCTCTTTAATGACAGCAGTTCTTAACCTTTTAGAGAGGTCGAGGATTGGTTTCTTCTGAAACCAGTCCACCTTTTCTGAAGGAAATAAAAAAGGAAAATCACACAAAATTTTGGAAACAATTTCAGGAAATTTACATGTGGCCTGAAACCCAATTCATGGACCGCCCCCCCAAGCAAAGAACATTTGATTATGATTTTAGGGCTAGAGTATAAGTTGTTCAATATTCTTCATAGTTTCTAGATTTTTATAAAATGTAAGAATCTTTAAGTTAATAATTCTTGTTAAGCTTTTCTCAGGGACAGGTTTGAAATACTTATTTATTGTTGTTCCCCCCCCCCCCACACACACAGTTTGTGTAAAAGCAAAACCCAATTTAACCAATATTTGTCACATTAGCGCTGTTGGTTCCCGAGGACTTCATTAATCACTTGTGCCTCTTGAGAGCACCACCTTTGTTGTCACAGAAGAAAAAGAATCCTCATTATTTTATCTATAAGCCACTTTCCATGCCCCAAATAAGATAAACTAAACAAATTATAAGCTGCTAAATATTACACAGGATACTTCTCTAATTGGTAGGCTAATATGGTAGGCTTATAACTTAATTTTTGTTTGTTCCTCCCTTATTAATAAGATGTTAGTAGGTATTAAGACCTATTTAGGTCTTCCTAAAGCAGTTAGAAAAATAAAAAGAGAAAGTAGCAGTTGATCAGATGCTCAAATTTACCCATTTCAGAAAATCTCTAGAATTTATTCCCTGAGAACAAGGGATTTGTCTTGGGGACCTACTTACCTCAAAGCTATTTGAGGATACTATGTCTGTGTGGGTCTGTGTCAGCCCTTTCCTCTTTTCCTCGGGCTATGCTGGCATGGTTTTAGTCTGCAATGAAGAGGTAAATTTTAGAAAATTCTTACGTTCTCTAAAAAGCCTCGTCCTCCTAAATTTTCTCTTACGGTGTGTGTGTGGGTGTTAGAGATGGAACATAAAGATGAGTAAAGAAGTAAGTTGTGAGAAGTGGAAAAACCTTATATGTAAGATGCCCTGCTACCTGGTATTTACCATGACAACTGGGCAAAGGATAAAGAAAACAATTTTTCTTTTGGAGGGAAGCGGTTGGCAGTGCTGAGATTCTTTTCAATATTCTTTCCCCCCATCTCCTAGTGAGACAGAAACCACGAGGGGACAAAAGGTAGGTGTATTCCTGGGGCCCCAACTCAGGCTCTGTGGCCCCATTAAAGCATGGCATGTGTTTTTTCCTGTGCTTACTTTCCCTAACAGTCTTATCAACCTCAACAACCAGGTGTGTCATGAAAGCAAGGACAGCTTCCGAATAGCATCTCTAAGAATAAACTAGAGGAGAGACTGAAACTGTTGGGGTTCACCACTGAGGGACCGAGGGCAAACCCACCCCCAGGCTTTAACTTGTTTCTCTTACACGTCTTCTTGCACACACCTCCCGCTGCGTGTTCCCGTCCTTATCACAAGGCAGGGTGTTTGTACAGAAGGAGTGTGCCCTAGAGAGAGAACAGTCATTCCCGGGATAAGCTTTGCACGGAAAAAGAAAACACCCTTTGAAACTATGCCCAGGATCCCAGAAAAGTCCCAGACTTTAGCTCCTCTCTTCTACTCTGCACAGAGAAAACAAAACAAAACAAAACAGGGCGGGAGATTTAGCTCAGTGGTTCTGCCGCCTGCCTCACAAGCACAAGGTCCTGAGTTCAATCCCCGGTACCAAAAAAAGAGAAAAATCAGGCTGGACTGTTAACAAAAAGCAGGACAAAAAGCAGTGGACATCGGAGAAAAAAGCTAAGGCTCTATGAAGACTATAGACTGAACACACTCATTATTACGGTCTATTCAGTCTATTCAGCCTTTTAGTTTTAGTTTCCCAGTTCAAATAAAGCTTAATTTAAAGCATTCTTTTATGAAGATAGATATTTTCCACTTCTGAATCTGAGAGTTACAGATCAATGCTTTTTCTTGGGCAAAGCATACATATAGCTCACACAGTAATGCAGTGGCTTCTGTGACCTCCTTTCCTCTCTCTCTCTCTCTCTCCCTCTCTCCCCTCCCGATCGCCTGACCCTAACCCCCAATGTACTGCCACCACACCCAGCTCTAAATAGTCTCTTTTCAAATTCAGGTCATCTTATATTTTGGGGAGTTGTTAAAGATACCTACTCACTGGCCTCTTTGCAGCTGACCTTTCTCTGAAGTGCCAAAAGGGCCATCTTCCCAAGCCCTGATCTTGTTACTTCCCTGTTCAACAACTTCTGGTGGCTCTTTATTCTCTCCATCTGTCCTGAGTCTGCCTTAGGTCTAGATTAGCATCTTCTCTATCCTCCAGGTTCTCTAGGGTCCCTAGATCCACCTATGTCTTTGGTATGTTCTGTTGCTGGTCCTGTTTTTACCATTTTGTGCAGAGCCCAGCTTAAATCCTGTCTTCTTCATGAAACTCTCTAATATCTACTAACACTCTCAAATACTGTCATCTTAGTGAAAGCTTCTCCTCTGAAAGTTTAGGCCCTTTCTACGTTTCTTAATGCATTTGATACCCATCCTGTGTTATAGTTATTTGTGTGATTCATCTTTCCTATTAGATTATAAGCTCCTTGGAGCAGAACAATATCATTTTTTGTATTTCAGCACCTAGCATATTGCCTTTAACATGGGATGTGCTTAATAAATACTTGTTGAATTCAAAAAACTCTGTCTTCCTATAATCCACAAAAAGCTGAAAACTCAATTTTAGCTGAACTTTCCTTTTTTCTTCCCTCAAAAGAGTGGTCCTGCTTTCTAAGTTCCTAGCTAAGAAGCTCAAGTGAGTGGGTAGTAATATATGGGTGATGAAAGGGGGGAAACTGTATAAACAAGGCTAGAGAGACATGCTAGAGCCTTTTGAAGAGTGAGGAATTCATTGCTAATAAATAAAAAGTACACAGAGGCACCAAAGAAATGTGGAAACTTTTTCCAGAATTAAAAAAATTGTTCTTGTTTCTGGCTAACTTCTAGAGGGCCAGCATATCAGTGAGGATTGAATTCATTTGTATATGATGGGAAAAAAATAATAGTGACTTTAAACAAGTTAGAAGTGTGTTTATTTTTCTCTTATATTAAAAAAAAAAAAAAGCTCAGTGTTGAGCAGTGCAAGCTGTTAGATCAATTACTTGGTATGTGAGAGCGGAATTCCTTTTGCTTTGCTCTTTAGCCAGCCGTAGTATAACACTTCTTGGTCCAAAAATATTGTCACCCTCCACGTTCTCACTGGTATTAGCCAGCAGGAAGGTGGCAAGGAAAAAAGAAAAAGGTGTGTTCTATCTTTTAGGGAGACTTTTCAGAAGTCGTCTACACTATTTGTGCTTACATCACAGGGTTGGAAATCTGCTCCCGTGGCTACAACTATCTATGAGGGAAGAGGGGGAATATAGTCTTTTAATGATCTACTAAAGGAAAGGGGGTGGGGGATCCTGGGTGGCAGCTATCAGTGGCTGATAGACCCAGAGTCAGGCTTTACATGGCCTCCTTATTCCTTCTGGACCAAGTACAGAATTATGCACAAAAGCAATCATTTCAGAAAACTTTTCAGTGAAGTTAAAGTGGAAAAGAAAAAAAAAAAAAGCCAAGCTGGGAATAAGCATATTTTCACCTAAGATCAAGGACAGGACCCATGACAAAGGTGACTAAGTGAGGCTTTGCCTCCTCTCTCCCACCCCAGCCTTCATCTCCTCAACTCATATATGCACTGAGAGGTGAGTATTATTATTACAAAGCCAGCCATATAGACCCGGAAAGGGAAGTCCAGAAAGATTCAGAAAATTGGCTTAACTGCCCCAGAAGTTTCAAAGAACGAAAAATAAATAAAACATGCAGCTGGCTTTGGATCTGCTGTACTGCAGACAAAAGTGATATAAATCATAGAATGTTAACCAGATAGATTTGTGCTTATGTTTGATCGTAGAACACCTCAATTAACCTCTTCAGAAAAACTTATTACTAACTCATTTCACTTGGCCTGCGAAGGAGGTGTTTTCATTTATGTGGTACACATAGGAAAAAACTCTCGTCTGGTGGCTTTAGATATTTTAGGGTTAGATAACTGCTTTGGACTCTTCTGACTGCACAAAGCTCCCTAAGCAATGTTGAAGTATTCTAGCTATGCTAAGAATTCACTTTTATCAGTCATCCAAAGATACAAATGCTGAGGTTGTTCTGTCCACTCAATGCCAAGTAACTTTAAAATTAAAAGCCTGGGAGAAATAAGGACTTTTATTTTTGACTTCATATAGTCCTGCCAAATTAGGAATTTTTAACAACAGCGAATTGCATATATAGTAACCTTTAATTACACAGTTATGCGGGGGGAAAGGATGGCATAAAATGCAAGGCGATTGTCATTGCCAATAACATTTTGTTTTTACAGAACTTGTAGAGAAATTAGAAGGAAGACTTCAAAAAATATGGTGTGATGTCTCCCGGTGGGGACAGGGGAGGAGGTAAGTGAAAACTGCAGAGAACTTGTTTCCAGTTAGAACACAGAGAAGCTGAGAGCTTAGTTACTATAAATGGCTTGGAAAATTGTTGTCAATTTCTTTGTTTAAAACCTAGCAAATGTACAAATTACTTAGGGATTTCTTTAGACAAGAGTCAGGGCTAATAGCCACCTTATAAACTGGGCATATTACATCAGATTTTTACTGCCTGTGCGAACACTTACATACAAAATTGAGACCAGAAGGAGCTATATTTTAACTGACTTCTGTTTTGAATGTCTTTGGAGATCACAACAAACAAACAAGCAAACAAATATTAAAAAAGACATTTATTGTGCATTGAACTAATATGTACCAGATCCATACTGTGTGTTGGGCCTTTTCATATAGTAACTACTATATTCATTTTACAGTTCAGAAGCCAAACTCATAAAGATTAATGAACTTTCCCAAGATCATAAAATTAAAGTAGCAGAGCTGATGTACTATCCCAGCTACTTGGGAGGCTGAGGCAGAAGGACCACAAGTTCAAGGCCAGCCTTAGCAAGACTCTGTCTCAAAATTTCAAAAAAGGGCTGGGGTTGTAATTTAGTGGTGGAATGCTTGCCTCATGTGTCCAAGGTCCTGGGACTTAAAGAAAAGAAAAAAAAAAAAAGTAGTAGAGCTAGGACTTAAAGCTAGATGTCTGGCACACTTAAGGAAAAAGTATTATAGTTTAAAACATAATTTTTACATTTCAAAAATAAAAAAGGGTCATTCTAAAGCAAACAAACATGATTAGGACAGACGAATATAAGTAAAATTTGAAAGCCCATCTCACCTATAATCCCATCTTTCTAAACTAACCACTGCTGGTATTTTGTTATAGTTCTTTCCATATCTTTCCTTTTGTCAGGGTAGTTTTCACTCACTCACATTTCCTGTCTACTTAAAAGAAACAGAGGAGGTTAAATTTACTATATCTTGACTAGAATAAATGTTACCTTTAAATGATAACTAAAGCTCTCATTCGGCGAACATCAGACATCTTACTGCAGATATTCAAAGAATAGAACTCACTCTATTTCCTAAGGACTCAAAATTTAGCACAGTGGCATTATTTTTTTTTTTAATTTTGGGGGGATGGATTGAGACAGGGTCTCTCTTTGTAGTTCAGGCTGGCTTTGAACTCACTATGTAGCTCAGGCTGGCCTTGGATGTGTGATGATCTTACTGCCTCAGCCTCCTGAGTGCTGGGATTATAGGAATGTGCCAACATGCCCAGCTCCCGATTTATTTTTGAAGGAGTTATTATGGACTCTTTTGCTAGACTGATGTGAATTCTGAACCCTTTCTCCAGAAGAAAATGAACCTACATAAAATTTTGGATTTATAGATGCCCTGAGTGTATCTGGACTTCTCATCTTATTAGAGTTAATACTTGACATAAGTACTAGTATACAGAGGTGGAGAGATGCTCAGCCAGCACAGAAAAACAGGGCTTAACTGTACTTGAACATGTCAGGGAATACAGGACAGAGAGACACAAGGAATCTTGAAGGACACCAGCAGTCTGGTGGTAGCCCAGTATAGGGGAAGACGTCTGCTGAGGAAACAGCATTAATGGAGCCCAGAGGCCAGAAAGGACAGAGGACCAGGACTGGCTTAGTGAAGGAGGCCCAGCGTGTGTCTGGGAAGGACCGACAGCAGATAAGTCTGTAGAGCAAGATGGAGACCGGATCACAAGGGGGTTTTTCTGTTGGATTGGGGTATTTGAACTTCAGGAGAAGTCACTGAAGGATTTTGATCAAGACTTTGTTAGGAAGGCTAAAAGTTTATAATGAATGTATCACGAAATAAATGTTCTTGGGAATAACAATTTGGATGTTTGAACAAGATATAAAAAGGAAACACATATGCTTGATTCAGATTTAGAGGGGATTGTTGGCTAAATAATATGCTATTAAAAAGATATATTGCAAATCAAATGGAATTGATTGGAAGGCCATTGCCTTTTACAAAGGAAATTGGGATTATAAAGTTCCAAAGCTGTAAGATAAAAGGGCCATATGTAAAACTCAAAATTTGGGCAACACATTGGCCCCTTTGCTGCGGTAAGCTGATGCAAAATCAAGTTAGTGCCAGTCCCTTAGGATGGACCACTCACTCTGGACTCCTCCAGCCTCCTCTGGCCCACTCCAGCACCATGTGGGTTGTCTGGTTTCCCACTGACCCTTTCACATGCAACGTGCAGGAAAGAGAAAGAGGGTACAGTGGGTCAGATTCTCAGCATTTCTGCACTGAGCATGTGCTGCTTTTATGATTGTTTTTGTAATTTAGGTTTTAAAACAAGGCTTACCAATAGTGGCCTAGCTTGTTCGTTTCTATTTGGCGGTACTTAACCTGGTATACCTAACCAAAACTCTAAGTAGTTTCACTCCCTACTTCTCGGCAGTGCCTTCATAAAGTCTCAAAGATATTTCACTTGATGAATATTCATTATTTATTAATAATTAAAATTTTGAAGAGTCAGAAAGGGATTTAACAGGCAGAAATTTAAAAGTACACAGTCAAAGAAATAGAGTATGTACCCTTGAGAGAGAGAGAGATGCATATAGTGTGTGGCTGGGAATATTTATGTATTTTTGGTGGCATTTATGAATCTGGAGGAAGTTTCATCTTGGTCTTGGTTTATAGGGAAAGGATGGTCTACCCACCAAAAGATAACAGCCCATTTTACAGGTGAAAAGTGTAAGCCCCACCAATTACTTTTTTTTTGGTACCGGGGGTCGAACTCGGGTCCTTGCGCTTGCAAGGCAGGCGGCGGAACCACTGAGCTAAATCTCCAGCCCTACCAATTACTTTTTAGATGGATTACTTTTTAGATGGATAACCTAAGATTATTTTGCTTCAAAACATTCTTTGAACTCTCAACATGTTTCTTTAAGATCAAGTTTCTGCCCTTTATTTTATCAACTAAGCTAATCCATGGACTTAAACTATCTTTAAGGGATTTGGGGTATGATGGACCTAAAAGAAAAGAACCATAAACAGTCTAGGGAATACTGATAAATACTGATATGGATAATCTTGGGAACTTTGTGTCCTGGAGTTGCAGCCTTAAATATACAAATTTTTTCCTTGTTTCCCTTCTACCTATTTTTATTTCTTCTGTCCTACCTCACTCCTCCCCCATTTTGATTGCTTATTCTTCAAGTGTGCAGAAGGGCTGAGGGTCTGTTTTCTTCTACCTGCTGCAGGCTGAGGAGAAGCACTGATGCTGCCTACCAGGGAGTGAGAATTCCTCCTGACTGACCTAAATGAGACAAACGAACGGGTTCATGTTTGATGAACCATCATCTTTTTTTTGTTGTTTTTTGGTGGTACTGGGGATCCAACTCAGGGTCTTGTGCTTGCAAGGCAGGTGAGGTGCCACTGAGCTAAATCCTCAGCCCACCATCATTTTCTCATAGTCTGGGGAAAAGGACAAGAACATTAGCAAGTCATTGATGCTTAAGCTTCATTTATAACTATGTTACATAAGCAAGGGCTAAAAATTAAAAGCAGAATATTGATGAAGATTAGCTCAAGAAGTTGTAGAAGTTAGACAAAATTAGGCAGCATTTGGTATAAGCCTTTTATTTTCAGTAATAACCTCTATTTGTCCAGAAATATTAATCCAAGTACAAGTAGAATTTAAGAGTATATAGACTCTTCCCTGCTTTGTCAAAGAAATCTAGTGTTCTATTTATTTATTTGTACCAGAAATCGAACTCAGGGTCTTGTGCTTGCCAGGTAGGTGCTGTGCCACTGAGCTACATCCTTGGCCCTGTTCTCTTATATCGACTCTAACAGTGGTGAAGGAGTATGCAAATAAACACATTGATGTTTTCGTGACCCTTAGGCCATTAAATTCTTTTTACTATAGGGCTCAGAACTTAGATCTGGCCCCTATGTTGTAGATCTGAATACCTTTTGTAGTATCTAAATCCAGATAATATAAACATATAAATTTAGGTGGGTTTTTTTGGTGCTGGGGATCAACTCAGGACCTTGAGCTTTGAGGCAGGCGCAGTGCCACTGAGCTAAATCCTTGGCCTGTATAAATTTAGTTTTACCACAAAGGTAAAAAAGCTTAGTAGCTAGAGTATATTGCCATTATTTTTCTACAGGAACATCTATACAGGAAGCTAAGTCTTTGCCTGGGGGGCACTTGAAAATCCATTAACAGGCCAGGCATGGTGACGCACGCCTGTAATCCCAGCACTAGGGAGGCTGAGGCAGGAGGATCACAGAGAGTTTGAGGCCAGTCTGGGCTACATAGTGAGTTCAAGGGTAGCCTGAACTACATAGTGAGACCTGCCTCAAAACAAAACAAAATAAGCAACAAACAACGAAACAAAACAAAACAAAAAAGAAAGCCCATTAACATAACATAATGCCAATACACTAAGAGTGGTTGAAGAAAATATTTTGAAAGGGTTAGTGGGACTGAGAATCATGACTTCAAATTTTAGGTGCTATAAAGACTTTAAAGAGTAAATTGCATATAATGCATATGTTGTTTTGTGTATAAGATATATCTTATAATTTTTTTCAAATACAAAGAAGCATTTGGTCTTTGCCAGATGGTAGTGTTCTGAAAGACTTTTAGTCTATATATTTGGCAGTGAACTTATGTTAAAATTTACAACTGAGGTGAAATAACATGGATTTTTCACTTTATCCTTTTCCAACTCATTAATTTAAAAAGAATGGTTTTTCTTTCTATTTACTACAAACAAATAAGGTTCTGTGTTGTTTCCTGCAGGAAAAGAAATCATTAACCATAAACAAACCTTAAAATTAAATTAAATTTAAATTTGTGTTGAGTGCCCACTGCAAAAGATCCTCAAACTTTTCATATGTCAAAGGAATTGGACAAAATGATAAGAATGTTTATCTTTCAAGCTCAAGTTAGTTTTGTACTCCTTTCTAAAATACTGAGCATTAAAAATATATGAAAAAATTTTAAATTGTTGAAA